AACTACATATTCAATTAGGTATATTTTATTATTATTGATTAATGATAATATATACAAAAGATATGTTTAACGCATACAATATCACCGGTCGAAAATGTTCCACGTTTCGTTTTTAATGGTATAAAAAGGATAGCGTAATTAAAGCAATAAGAAAAAAGATGATGGCAAGTGTTTGTCACTTTAGTTTTAAACCTCGAAATGCATAGGTCTTTCTCGTCCCTATATTAAACTTATTTGCTGCCTCGTTCGTTGTTTGAGCCGGAGCCTTGTAAGAGACAATAATATTTATCTGGAAACAAAGTATTGAATATAGGTAAATTTTTTCTTCCGACGAAGCTTCAAAGACTAGGCAAATAATTCGACAAAAAATCATTATTGATCTTGCTATAATCTGTATTAGGATTTATCTTACTTTTAATGTGCCTGCTATGCGCTATACTGCTGTTCAGTTGCAGTGACAACTGTTTAAATATTACCAATTCGTTGGTGCCGTACAACGTCAGTTAACCTGGATTTTACAAACCCTATTATGATTAATTTAAATGTATTGTTAGATATTACGTAAATTGCTTGGTGTTTCGTCTCAGTGTTAAATCAGACCTGACCGAATTGTAGGATCCTTAGCTCAAAATGAAAGACTTAGTGGACTGTATATTATTTATTACGATCTTTTAAGATACATAACTAATCAAACCGAACAGTAGTGCGTGCCTTCGCCGGTAGATTGATTGAGCAAAAAAAAGTGGGGATCGTAACTTCCGATGACGATCCGGTTCGGCCGTGAACTAAATTTCATCCCGGCTCTTTTAGACATAGATGGTTACGCATTTTGTTTGTCATTTGTTTTATCACTATACAGTGAGCATTCGTGATTGACCTTCCTCTGGGTCCCGTTCATCGATTGCGATCCAAGCCGAGGTTCGAACCTCCAATTGCGTGGCCTTAGATCGTATCGTGCCTCCCCCTGTTAGTCGATTGTCCATATTTCGTCAGTAGGGTGTTGCGTCGTCGTCGTGCACCAACCACGGTGTTCTCCCGAGTCCGTGGCTCGTCTGCCCGCGGGCCTCTTCCGCCGAAGCCGTCAAAGCAGCCGGGCTAACAGTAAACTACACGTCACAAAAAAAATTTACCAACAGACTGAAATTAACTTATTTCACTAACAGAAACAGGTAAGTAAGCGGACGGCCTCAGAGATATCGTTTAACCTTAATTACACATAAAATTTCACAAATTCAGTTAATATTCAATTAAACCACGCTAATGCAACTTTAATGCTGTATAAATTATTTATATAAATAAACTAATATGAGTTAATTTATTAGTTACTTTAATTGATTGAGACATTTCACTATATCAAAATCGCAAATAAGTAATCACTTTGTATTTTAAATAATATGATATAATTTACATGTCGTTATTCTTTTCTATATCTACAATACCATGCACATGCTATTAAACAGAAAAAGGAATGAATAAATTGTCATATCAATCTCCCATCCGAATATTTAATTTGACTAGTGGTCGCCCAGTGGTCGTAATTTTATTTCTTTTAAAAAAACATTGCCCTTACTTTGGGATAACATTATCCTGTGTTGTAAGGACGTTTTACAAACATAAATTTCACGCGGACAAACACCCAGATGCGGAACAACTATCTGTGGGTCACACAAATAGTTATCTCGTGTGGGAATCGAACCCACAACCCCCGACGCCGAAGCCGATACCTTGGCGACTGCGCCACGGAGTAATTCAACCATAATTAATCATACATGGTAGTGAGTTATGTATTTTTTATTGATTTAATGTATTTTTATGCATAATTAAAACAAATATTAGCATTCTGCATTCCTCTATATAAACTATAAGTGTAAAAAAATCAAACTCCACCATCCGCGCAATTTTAAAAAGGGGTGCCTATAAAGTTTTGCTTTACATATATACCATAGATTACCATTTCCCCATCACCACCTTAAGTATGTATTTATCTTATAAAATTTGTAGAATTTTACCCACACCCCTAAAATACTCTTTTCATATTAAGTCCTTCCAAAGGTTGCCTGGAAGAAATTGCTTTAGTTTGAGTTGAGTAATAAGACCGGCCATTGTACACATCTGTTATTTTTAATGTATTCTTTTTTACCATGGTGTGTGCAATAAGGAATATTCATTCATTCATTCATTCACCTTTTCAACTCTATTGTTATTTTATTTCAATCAAGTCTACTATTCATTTTATTTTTAATGCTAGTCCCTTCACTTAAATAGTCTCTTAATTTAAAAAGACCTCTTTAATTTATAATTTTAATGCTACTTAACCAGTGCTATTATAAAATAAATAAAGCTATAAACATACAGCTGTGGTTGCAGCCTTCCATAAATATTATCAATATCAAATATGCATAAAGAATAAATTACGAAATGCTTAAACACACAACCAGTGCCTTTTAATTATACGCGCGATTAGCTCACCTTATTAAACGGTTATTAAATTATATTTTCGGTTTTACAATATTTTTTACAGATTTCCCTGTTTGTAAGAAATGAGAAATAAGTAAGTAGTCGTCATAACATATTGCTTATCTGTTTATTACGCATTAAAGTATCTGTAATAAAAAAAAGGCAAACAAATTGGCAGTCCTTGATACCGGGCCATAAAACCCAAAAAAAAAATCAAATTGGCAACTACCCGTTTTAGCCGTTTCAAATGAATCTGTGTAAAAGTTGAGTGCAAGGAATGTTACGAGGTATAACGTAATTATGTATTATTAAATCAAAACATTAACGCCCGGTTTCTAAAACTGATCATCGGAAAGGTTAACTAAGCAGCTATCAAATGGCTTTTCTAATGTCATTTGAGTTGCCAAAAGGATTGTTAAGCCCTTTGAGTTGTTCATTCTGATCATTAAGATTATTCTTAGAAATTTAGAGTTACCAACCTTTTAGCAACTCAAATGACATTAGAAAAGCCTATTTATAGCTGATTAGTTAACTTTTAGGATGATCAGTGTTTCAAAAACCGGGCGGAGCTAAGACCTATCGGATCTAAATAGTATTTTTAAAACAATTAAATAGGTTGAATTGTGTAGAAATTTCGTCAAGACCGTCACTAAAATCTAATAATTTATAGGTTATCTAGGCAAGCAATGAAGCATAATTTAGGTAATTTTGTAGTCTTTTTAAGTTTAAAAAATTATGTTTAAATTTGAATTTCACTTTTATAAGTAAACTAAAAATGCATTTAAAAAGCTTATCAAATGATTATATTTCATTTGATAAGCTTTTTAAATGCGACTGTTTTATTTATTTTCATTTATCTTTTTAATAATGTGTTCTCGAGCAGGCGCACACAGCTCTTACGCAAATTTTAAAAACACTAAATCGTTAACTACGTTTTATACTTACTATAAAATATTTTGTGTCTCATTTGAAGACGTATAACTTGTCAAATATCATAAAAATACGAAATATCAACATATACCACCAACATAATATATAGTCAACACATATTAATAGTATGCGCGTTACCATAAACATAAATACGTTTTCGTATATGAGGAATATAGGATCGTGTGTAAAAGAAAAGACACTAGATTTAATTTAAATTCATATATTGGCAACATCACTCCTACAATGTACTCGCCTCAAATATTGAGATACGCTCCAATTCCGAACACGCTAACGGTCAGTGCAACATTTAATACACACAATGAGAATATTTCTAGGCTAAATTTACGGAAGTTGACAACTTACGTCATAAGATATTTAAATTCTTGTGAATTTAATTTGGACCAAAAGGAATCACTACTCAGGAGTACCAACGCTAGAATACGACGGATGAGGAAAACAATTTAATTCATAGTTAATTAGTCAAAATTATTTATTTAAACGAAAATTTTCATTTGTATACTTTCGTATTTTTATAGTTCTAGGTAAATAGCAAAACGGATGTTTGTAAAACTCTTCGATAAACGAGAGAAAAAAATACAATCATTCTCATGCGTTATTCTTTAAGCTTGATCTAAAAATAGATGAATTTGCAATAGATTTTAATATTTCATAACATGTACATTAATTACATTATCTATTATATAACTAACATCGTCAAATTTACTATAAATAACATATTAGATATATGTTTAGATTTTTATAACCATCATGTTTCGCGTTCCTAATACAACTTTGTACCATTGCCAACTTTATGGGACTTCGAGCAATTTTTTTTATCACTTATCATACATTTTGTTAATCCTTAATTCATAAAACCACTCCGATAATTAAAAATACTTATTGACGACAGATAACGTGTTAAAACGATTATAAGATATATTTCATTTAAATTAACTATAATGCTGACACCACTCTAAACGCTAATATTATTAAGGAATACTTTTAGCTTTCAAGTGTTTATTGAAATCTTGAAGTTTCTTTACACTCCACTAACTCGCAATTTGCTACTTAAAAATAGACTCTAATTTTAAAGAAATAAGACAAAGCTTCCATTAATTTCGCTTACTCGCGTTGTCTAACTAGTACTATAACTACATTAACCTCTTTTAAATTCATAGTATTGGACTATTTAACACTTATAGGTAATATCCCAGCGGGTTTATTTATTTATTTATGATTATGCGTCGAAAGGCGACGGTCTGCTCAAAAACTAAGCAACGAACGTCGAAATTGAGGAACTAGATATAGTCGAAGCAAAGATAACGAGAGAGAAAGAGATAGATGTATTTCTATTTAAACATTAAGTATAATTTTCATTTAAACGGCCATTCTGCGATTTAAGAGCAGGCAATGTTCTATTGCGTTGCTATATCAATTATTACTAACAGTTTCCGATTTAATATTCAGCATAATATGATTCCTATACAGGATTCTTTCAATTCCGTTTAATGTCTTAAAAACTATTCCGATACGCTTTTGTCATACAATTCAATATTGTGATCCCGCAACACGCTACAATACAGTTAATTTTTTTTCCAAAACGTCGCTCTGAAATGTCCACGATTTCGGCAAAATCGGATGTAGCGGGCAACACCGTCCGCCTGTCAGTGTCACTGATACAGAGCGCGAAGCGCGGGCAGCGCCCCGGCACAGATTATATATTCGGCCAGCGCTGTGGCGTTGCGGTGGTAATGGTGGTGGTGGTGGTGGTGGTGGTGGTGACCCTCAGCAGCGCGGGACGTCGCTGGTGGCGGGCCCGCCCTCGCATCACCGCGACGGGCACGAGCTGGCGGCGGACTTGCCACTCAGGCACGAGAAGCCGCTGGTGGCGGACTGCAGGCTCGACATGGAGCCCCTGCAAGCGGCCGGTGGCAACGAGCGGTGTCGGCCCAATGGCAACCGGCCATACGGGCCACTGCGCCTATTGCGGGTTCGATCCCCGCACGGTAAGTGTTTCGGGACCGTGCGTTTGCAAATGTGAAATGTGTATCCGTAAACGTTCCCAAAAAATGGGAGAATTCCTAGTAATATTTTTAAAACATTTCAGGACATATTTTTAACATAAACAAGTGTTGATCTATAACCTCGATCGAGTCGAGGGACGTCTCAACTCGATAGTAATTATCAAGCGCAGTCGAGTGGCAACATTGCTGAGAAACCTTATTGCATTTTATAAACTATAAGAAGATCAAGGATAACATTTGGAGAAGACCCAGGTTCTGCAGTGGACCAGTCGTCTTTTGGGCAGTCTCACCTTAGCAAATGGTTGGGAAAACATAGAAGGACACTTCATCCTTCCACGAATTCGTTGATAGATCAAGATCGCGAGATAAGTATTACGATTAAGGTCAGTTGTGGACGCTGTGAACACCAGCGTTGAGCTAAGTGAGATTAATAAAAGCAGTTGAATTTCTGTCAGTAGTTTGAGAACGTATAATGTTGCAAAATGATGAATACGGTTTAAATATTAGCCAACACTATGCAGCCTCAATTCAGGACGAACTCAACGAAAGGATATTAACTTAGTAAGAACGCAAATGATCAAACTGCGCCCTTGCAGACTAAATAGGAGTAGTTTTGCAGAACACAACGCGTAAGTCACCAAAGCCTAATAGCGCGGCAGGTAAGATTCTTAGTATGATGAAGACGAAAACAATAAGCTAAAGAGCTGCCTTTGACCTCATTAGTCCAAGATTCGTCTCCGAGTATATGTATAAATGAGTCAACAAAAAGTTTTTGTTTAGCACTTGATTGAGAGATGGCTGCTGAAGTTTGATGTCTACATTTATATCAATGGTTAGTGGTGAAAAAACTTCCAAAATTTTTAAACATCAACGTAGCCCCTTTAGATGCGGCGAAAATAACACTTACATTGAATAAGCAACAAATTACTAACAACGAAATTGAAAGCGGGGCGAGTGTTAACGTACATTTCTTAACGAGCGCTGAGTTAGATACTTTAATAGAGTACAATGAGTAATTATTAAAATTTTTGATATACATTCGATGTGATCGCAGCTGATGCGGTTAATTTTGAAGATGATAGTTATTTTCCATCGAAAGCCGACAGGTCTGGCCACGCACGTACCTGGTGGGGTGGCGGTGGGGAGGTCTAAGCCTACTCGTCATTTCGACCCCGGAGCGTTGCCTTCACTTCGAGGACCTAAAACCACGCACCGAATTCCATCCACGTCAAGAGCGAGGGCTAGTTTCCAACCGTGAATCGGTAAGGTATGTCATAGGACAGAACTCGACCTTGCCTAGATCGTATATTGGTCTTTACGACTAATTTCACAACCATCTTATCTTATGGTGGGTAGCCGTTAATGAATAGATTCAAGTAACGGTAATATTATACTTTATATTTAGTATTGCTATGTGTCTTTATGTTTCTTCCCCGAAACGGACTCGCAACGGTGCGCGTTCATTGTTCTACGTCGAGAGTTAAAATTTCTTTATTCATCATCATAATTCCAGCCTGTTTGAGTCCACTGCTGAACATAAGCCTCCCCACAGACTGCCACAAAGCACGATCCTGAGCCACCTGCATCCATCGACTTCTTTATTCGATATAGGCTTATTTTAAGCCCTTATTGAACGTCAAAAAACTACCACCGGTTCACTAATTTAGACCTATCCATTTAGACCAGACCATCCAGGGGACTCGCAAGTGCAGAGCAAGAGGCACTTGGGTGTGGGATTGTGCCACGGATGTTACGTCACGACATGACAGGAACGAGGCAAAGAATTAGAGATACCAGTCTACTTCATCATTCTCCAATTACGGGGTCAAAGGCAAAGGTTCTGTATTCAACATAGGCTTATCATAAGCTCTCATTGAACGTCTCAAAACGGCCACCGGTTCACCAAACTAGACCTGTCCCAGAGGAGAACCGGAAAGAAACTATGGTCTTGTGGTCTACTAAAGGTGTCGAAACAATCCCTGATAAAGTCCCCATAGACTCTGAACCGTTTCGCCGTATCGAAAGATTCTTTCTCGTCGAGTGTTTGGATGTGTGCGGTGGTAATGCGGTGCCGGTTGTCCTCACTTGTACTGGTGGCTGGCGAGGGTCTCGTGGAAGTACATGAGCTGGGCGGCGCGGTGCGCGGAATCCAGCAGCTCGCAGCGCCACTGCAGCACGTAGCTGCCACACTCCGCCATCACGTGGGAGCCCTGCGAACACCGATTCCGGATAAGTATTTTTGCGCGCTAGACATTTGGCAAGCGACCTGGGGACAAGTGAATACCGCCGCCTATGGACATCTGCGGGACATCAGGTCGTCACGCACAAGCATGCACGGGTCTCATCGGGCTCTTGTTTAAGAACAACGGCAGATTTGTATAAATCTTACACGAATCTTTAGGAAGTTTGTTTCTCTAGAATGGAGTAGTTAGTGATGGGGAAGTGGTGACGAGGAGACACCGCTTCACATAATCAGTCAGAAATGCCCTTGTCCATGTAAGGAGTCGGAACCGAAGAAGCACAGACCCTTAGCTCCTTATCGATCTGCAACTTCGGCGGTTAATTCTGTCTCAGTCTCGGCCCAGAGGTGGAGACTGAGACAGCAGTCCGTGGCTTGCTCTGGCCAACATTCAGGAACGGGTCGATGAGGGTTTGGCGGCGCTCTGGCCCAGGAGGAACGGGTCGAAAGGGACGGGGGGCGTGGTCGGCAGGGGCGCGCTTGCCTGTATGCTCTCGCCGTCGTGGCAGACGAGCGTGGGCTCGACGCGCTGGTAGTGGCGGCCCTCGCGCCAGCCGCGCTGCTCCAGGGCTGGCAGCACGGCGCGCGGCTCGCCGCCGCTCGCGCACAGGGCTGCCCACCACACGTTTACCGTTTACCGTTTACCGTTCCGTTCATTCGGTCTCGTTTCCGTTCGCCGCAGCTCGAGACTGCGTCGTTCATTCTCTAAATTTGCTCGCGGTATATACATGTATATGCTATTTCATAGATAATAAGTCCCTTTTAAATTTTATATTAAGATTTATAGTGCTGATCTCTGCATTCAAGTTGAAACATTAAAATTTGCATAATGATGGACGAAAAGTTTTTCTACCACTAAACTAAACGGTCGATTGCCGTGCCGACGTCCAATTTTCTACAAATTTTAAGGTCACTACTACAACTAAACTAAAACTAAACGGACCTCAAATATCTCACTCACTGTACATTTCATATTTAATTTTGAAGAGTTCCATGGCGAGTCTCTGGTGTCAAAGATCAGATACTAATGGGAGCTGGACAAAATAGTTCCCCCCCCTCCTTAAACAGCGGTAATACGACAAATGTTAGACTTGACCCGCAGCCAAGTACATGGCCAAAAGTATCGAGTCCCGACCGGTGGCGCAGCTCTCCGGCTCGGGCATCTCGAGCGCCGTGTGGAACACGGTGAACGCGATGTCGTGGCGCAGCACGTCGAAGTCCCACGTGAGCACGCTCTGCGGGTCGCGGTTGCGGACCACCGCCTCGTGCACCTGCGCAGGTCCGCCGGTCAAGCGATGCGCGAACACATGCAGCACCCGTACGGTTGCACACGTGAGAGCCCCGGCTACCTCACTAACCGTACCATAACCATACGCAGAAGTGTAACATGTGTAGTTCACGGTGGTAGGGCCACGCAGCAGCCTCGGCCGTTGCACGAACGGGCAGGCCCGTCCGGGTGAGTACCACGACCTCACAGAAGACCGGCGTAAAGTGGTGGTATGACAAATACTTTTGCGTTTCGTCTGGTGAGTGAGGTAGCCGGAGCCCAATTTTCAAAAGGTTGTCAACGCATCTGTAACCCTCGGGTGTAGCAGATGTCCATGGACGGCGGTATTCACTTAACATCAAGTGACCCGTGTGCTCGTTTGGCAACTTTTCGCATAAAAAAAAAACTTCCGTTTCCTGTGCGGTCGTGGTGTTTACCCTACGGGCCAACCCATTCGTGCAACAGCGGGGATTGTTGGGTGTCCCTGCTACAGATGAAACTGTTCACTAAATAAAATACAGAAGGTCGCTATTGTTTCAGAACGGCGCTGAGGTCCTTGCTGTGCTCATAGATTAGTGTTTGGGTGTGAACCGCCTGTCGTTTAAGGCTTATTAGGGCCCAAGCAATTCTCGGGATATCACGAACCACATGAAGGCACGTGACTGCCTGTATTGATCCCGGAAGCCCTCTCCGCCTCAAAGGATGAGGATTAGAACACCTATTGCCGCTTCTTGCATTAAGAAGTAGGCTTTGTCGGTACCTTTTAATGATACAAAAACAAAGTCATTTAGGAGTGGCACCTGCATTTTCACCGAGAACACGCCAATAAGGCCGTCAGGAGGCCTAGTCTTGGTCGAATCCCGCCAAGAGATGGGTCGAGACCCTTAGACGATTATATAAATAGGCCCCGTGTTTCGTTCCTGGAGCGATTTATGCATTGTTAAAATAAAATGGAATCGTAGATACAAAGAAGATGTGATAATAATTGCGTAATTTACGCAGGTCATAAACAGTCCTCATCATCACAATTAGCTGCTAAGCCTTGATACCATCTCCAACAAGCTAGGCGAATTATCCGAAGGATTATTTTAGGAGGCTTTTACAAAAAAAATGTCTCTCCTATTTTTTGTATAATAGGGCCATAAGCACTATTGGCAGAATAAACATAGTGTGTATGTCATCACCTCACCAGATACAGTATCGTAATACACATGCAAGGTTTGTATTAACCTGTATCTTTGGGACTGTTCCACTGACAAACTCAACTTACAGCAGGTGTATTTGGGATGATGTTGGTAGCTTGTCACCCCTCGGGGCTTAGGCCATATTTTTTAACTCTCATTGATTTATAAGGGCCCCTTGCCAAATGCTTTGCAACTCGTATTGTGGGATCGATGGCCGCTTGAGACAAAAACGTGATCCGCAAATAGTCGGTTTCGTGTTTGCGAAATCTTCCGAGACACAGGAATTATTTAAACCATAATGCTGTAGACGTCCCCCTCAGAAAAACGAATGAACTACTTCGTCTAGATTCGGGCGGTGTTGTCTGAAAACTTAACTTCGATACGAGAGAATTGTCGAAACTGAACTAACTTTACTTTTACACTAACTTTAAACGACTCACCTGTCCCTTCGCCAGACTGACGGAACGGTAGATGCTGTCTTCGCTGAGAGGGTCACCGTCTCGCTCCGTGAACGCCCCACTTACATACAGACTCTTCGGAACCAGCCCACCCTCGTGGACGAAGCTCTGCAAATGCGATACCTTCCTTATCAATACGTGTCACAAACTGACTATTGAATATTGCTCCAGCGTTACAGACTATCACACAAGCTGGTAGTGGAAACAGATCGAGACTATTTTCCTACGTATATTGTATAACATTCTATGGCATGTGGTGCTGAGACATTTCAAATTCACTACCCTATTTTACAAAGCCATTGACGATTATGAACAACACAACAGAATTTAACGACATTCATATATGATATTTTAATTTCGGTAAAAATTCCGAACAGTACGTCTCGTTTTTCAAGCTAGAAAAAAATTTTAATCGATAGAGAAACGTTAATAATTAAATATTACATAAATGAAAACCAAGGCAAACACTTACTTTTAATAAAAAAAAATATTTAAAACTTGTTTTTTTCACTAAAGAAATCCGCCATTTTGTGTTTGACAACATGTATAAATTTACGAATTCACACACTTTTCCAAATTATAACCTTCGCATTATTAAAAAAAAGTCTTTAAAAATACTAAAAGTACTGTTACACTAAAGTTTTCTGGGTGGTCATAAAAAAAGAACCTAACAACGAAGGCTAAGGCGGGAGCTTCGCTAACCTAACCTTCTAACCTAACCTATCCGAGTCGGATCGCTCTGTGTCGGATCTGTGACTCATTTTGAACCTTATATTCGAGACATTAAGTGTACACTAAGTCACAAATTTTAAATTTTAGAAATTGTTGATAATACATGTTCATGAAGAAGAAACTTGTGTTTTTGTGATATATCTGTGTATTTGTGTCTTCTTACAACGTAAAAAGTGAAAACGTAAGTTTTTAACTTAAAATAATAGTCTATAATGAATAATGGACGCACAGTAATGACGGATTTCAGTTGTATGAAATTTAAAAACTTTGTTAATTTTTTCCTCATAATCTAGTGGTTTTCATTGATTATAACTTATATAATATTTAGTTATTAACATTTCTCTATAGATTAAAAATTTTTTTCTAGCTTGAAAAACGAGACGTACTATTCGGAATATTAGCCTTAATTTCATATGTTATATATTATATATGCAACGTGAGAGGGTTCTGTTTTATCGTGTAAACGATAAAATGTATACATAAATATATAAACATCAAATATAGAATGTTTTTACAACACAACATTTTTGACAGCACTGTGACAGATAACGTTAACGTTATTTTATGATTATTGATCTATGACTACTGTGTAGGGTGGGTTTAATAGATGTTCTAGCAATATTTTCATATTTACTTTAGGCGACGCACACTTAGTGCTTTGACACAAAAGCGGGGTGATCATTTTTAAATTGTACATTTCTAATCTATTCTGGAATCTTTTCGGCAATCGTCGGAACTAATTTTCACTCAGATTAATTAGTATTTTAAATGCTCGAGTCACGTTCATACATGTTTATTAAATGTAATCAGATTGTTGAAACGAGTGTTATTTTTTGAAATGGCGTTCTTATTTTATAAAACGATTGATCGAAACTAAGATTTATTTTAAACTAGGGCGTGCTAACTTCGCGATGTGAATACGTATCATTCACAATTTTCTCTATATATTTAAACTGTATTACACCAAATTCGTGCATGGTAGAACTTACGGGTTACATGGTATACGGGAACAACAGTAACACTTTAAAAAAAATAAGGAAAGAATAAAAGTCAACATTGACAGGAGATTTTCCCGCCAAAACGTTTGACAGTTCGAGACCGTTAACCTATAAAACCTAATAAATAATCGCAATGAACTGCTCCGAAAATGGATTAAACAGATGTATGCGGGTCGAAAGTCGCTATTGGGGCACGTAAGGTGAACACTGCGCCGGTGAACGTAGGGTACACAAGTGGCTGAGTGCGGTAAACTGCGTTTCTCTCACGCTGCGTACAGAGTCGTAAAATCGCTGCGGCACGTACCACTGCGGCGTCGCGACGGCCGTCTGCACCGCACGGGAACATTCGAGAGGTTTCCGATTAACACTTGGCGCTAGGGAAGACGACTTGCCGGTTTCCTCTCAACAAGACTGCTTTCCGAACCGGCGGTAATTTACCAACTTATGTATTAACTTTTATGTAAAACTTCGATGTTTCATAAAACAACGCGAAAGCGTCTATTTAAATAAAGATATTTTTGCAGGCGGTTTACCTGATGTTAAGCGATTACCGCCCGTGAACATCTACAACGTCTGGATTGCAGATGTAAACACGTCGGTCTTCTACGATGCCGTGGCACCACCCCGGACGGACCTGCCCATTCGTGCCACAGTAATGACTGCTGCGTGGCCCTACCACAGCATAAACTGCACCACTGAGTCATCTTTACTGTAATACCAGCGGATAAGAATGATATTATGTGACCATATAATTTTTGGGTTGTTCATTCCGTTTGCAAATTATTCCATTGTCTGCATAGAATGATCCTCTTCTAAGGCGAAAGTAATGTCATTTTAAAATAAATATGATTTTTATGAGAATGTTATTTTATTTACCCATTTGCGAATCTGGCGGATGGAAAAATGATACTTTGTTCTAAAAAGCTTTATCACACTGGATTTTGATAGATACAAATAACCTCGTACAAATTGTTTTAAATAACTTTATTTTTTTTTGGCAATATCTACATCCATGAGATGATTAAGACGATAATTATAAATAAGAAAAAAATCAAAACGATGAACATATTAAAGTTACATTGACAATTATAATACAAATTGGCAAATATAAAAAAACACACAGACAATCTTGTCTGTTAAAACTATCAGTCCCTTTCTGTGATTGTTAGTAGCAAAGTGACATTGATAAAAAGAAAGCGATTGATATGTTTACGTAGCAATTTTTTATCTATAAAATAATGCAGATAATGATAGATTATTAAAATTTTATTAAATCACGTGAATTTACTACCACTGCCTTCATTATCACAAATTGATGTATATGAGTAAAACTAATTAAATTTAGAATTGCTAAAACACAAAATTTTTCTTTAGAACTATTAAAGCAATATCTAAAATATTTAATTACTAATTTAAACTGAATTCGTAATTACTAATATATATTCACTTATGCAATTTTTTTTAGACTTATTTCTAATATAAATTATTCTAGGGTTCCATTTGCGATGCAAAAATAGATAAAAAAAAGATAAATCAAAAAGAAAATTAGAGGAGGTTAAAGATTAATTATAACAGCGGCACTAGGACGGTACCTTGCATGGCCCCCCAAGGAAGTCCGGGATTAGATCCTTGGGGATGTAGTCAAGCAGGCCGCCGGGCTGCAGGTAGTCTTTGCCTCCGTAGAACAAGAACTTACTGCGGGTGTTCTCATCTGAAAGAATAATAGTTGAAATGACGAAAAAAACCGGCTAAAACTAATAAAACATTGACAACATCTATAACATTTGAGGATTGCCCTCGATTTCTCTGGGATGCCATCATCAGATTTGGGTTTCCTTATCATGGTACTAGCCTTGGGATATCTCCTTTCCAACAAAAAAGGAATCATAAAAATCGGTTCATAAATGACGAAGTTATCCCCGAACACACATAAAAAAAAAATATATATATACGGTCGAATTGAGAAACCTCCTCCCTTTTTGAAGTCGGTTAAAAATGCTGCTCACCATATGACTCGTTGTATCATTCGCCTCGACAAATTGCTCTACCTGTTTTTATGTGAGAAAGTGGCAAACGAACTGGTGGTTCACTTGATGTTAAATGATAACCGCCGTCCATGAAGATATTCAACACCCGTAGGGCTGCAAATGCGTTACCGCCTCTAAATAAAGTGGGCCCCGGTAACCACACTCACCAGACGGAAAGCAGAACTATTTCCACTTCCTGTAGATCTTGCCTTCTGTCAGATCGTGGTATTTACCCGGACGGACCTGCCCATTCGTGCAACTGAGAAAAGTATTGCGTGGCACTACTACAGATACTAAAGAATTTTAATAACATTAATTTAATAAATTAAATTTGTAGAAAAAGTACGAAAAGATTGCCGCCGCTGTGAGAATCGAACCCACGTCTTCGGCATTCGCGGCCTGACGCTCTAGCCACTGAGCTAAACGGCTGATAGCCACAGCGACGAAAATCTTAACGTCTTTTATCTACATTGTTTTTTTTTAGCATTTGAAGCAATGCTTGGCGCTTCCATTGTTATATCCTTTCCAGCATACAAACAATTTCGAATATCGTTTTACAACGACAATTCGAACGAGAGATGTCGCCATTGCTTCTTAGAAATTTATTAGATTAGCACTATAAAAAATGTAAATTTCACATTTATTTAAAATAGTATTTAACCTCGCTATAATGTAGAACCCATTTACATGAGCCTTGTGCTGGATGTTTAAAACCCATTGTTGGGACGTAATAGATAATTTCATTCCTGATAAAATAGTTTACGGGCACTAAAAAAATAGTTACGGGTATAAAACAAAGTCGTCCCGCTGTCTGTTTGTCCCCATATATGCTTAGAGGTTCATATGTATAATTCATGCATAATATAGTAGAGAAACACTGATAATTTCAGAGGTTTCTAATGCGATCCAAAACAAACACTCAGCATTGCATCCGTGCGAAGCCGGGGCGGGTCGCTAGTATATGATAAAGTGGATAAGGCGCGAAGATTTTATAAAGACTTTTTTAAAGGAATACGTCGATGAGCGCTAATTATCATTACTGACCTGGAGGATAGCAAGAAAACAGAAACAGAAAGCGGGGCTTACCGATAAACGTGCTGACAATGGTCCACAAAATCGGGAAGACCCTGGGCGCCCTCACGATCAGCACCCTGCCCATGGTCTCCGGGTAGTTGGCCTCCACGATCTGGATGATGCGCAGCAGGGCCCTGACCCCCGGCCGCCACAGGTGCCTCATGTTCAGCCCGTCCAGGTCCACGAGCAGGCTCCAGGCTTGAACCGCGTGCTCGGACGACCTGGTCGCCTCTTCCAGCAGCTTCAGACCTTCCTCGCAAACGTGCAGTGTCTAGAACACATTTCAAATTACCCTAGTTATGTAATATTATTAGACATATTATTTCCAAAGCCGTTGTTTGCTAGATTAGCCATACTTTGATAGCCCTTACTCTAGGATAGCATTATTCTGTGCTGTAAGGATAGTTTCAATACATAAATATCACGTGGACAAACACCCAGACGCGAAACAATTATCTGTGGGTCACAGAAATAGTTGTCCCGTGTGGGAATCAAACAAACGACCCCAAATCCGAAGCCAATACCTAGGCAACCACGCCACGGAGTATTTCCATTTGATACTTCATTTAATTTAATGACCGACAGAGACATAATTTTGAAAGCTCTATTCCTCAATGTAATTTTAAAATTAATTTTTTCGACATAAGTATTAAAATGTATAAGGCGTCATACGTTGATCAAAAGATCTTCATATTCATTTATATTTAGGTTTGTGTTAAAGAAAGAAAGTTATTAAGAGATAATGAATTTCCTTACGAAAAAAAATATTGTGAGATGACAAAAACTGCAGTTATTTTTTCCTTTTAAATACGATATGGATGTTTGTAAAACACAATAGTATTAATCTTCTTACGGCACTTAAAAGAGTCTGTGTTATTTATTCAAACCGATACACTAGTCACATTCAAATGAAACAGAGTTTGAAGCAGATAATTCATATTCATCAGCATGACTTCATAAATGATGGCTATTGTGTCGTAGAATTCTGTAAAGAATCTTTTAAGAATAACTACATAATCGTATATACGTATTTTTTGCCTTATATAAACGATAGTAACGTTGCGTTACAGGTACACCCCGATGGCTAACATTCAAAAATGTAGTTACAATTCAATTATTAACTAGTTCTATAGACATACTTTTAGTCTGTTAGCTATAGTTATTTTAATTTTTACATCACGACTGAGCAAAGAAATAATTTAAAAGTATAGCAGAATAGTATACAGAGGAGGTAGTTGTTATCTTCGTTATTTTGTGTTAAGATATCTGCGTATTTGTGATATTTATGATTGAATTACGATAGACTTGTGTACGATAACACATAACAGGAATATGTATAATAAAACTAGTGTGAACAGTATATTTATCTGTTATCACGTCGTCTACAAAGAGCATGAAATCTTATGTAAAAGGGTTTCTAAAACTCAACTATTTGTTCTCTTGTCAGCGTTAGGTTTGATTTTTTTTATGTGAAATGTCGGGTGAGTGAGGTGGTCGGAGCCCAACTTTCGAAAGGTTGTCAACGCATCTGCAAACCCTTGGGTGTAGCTGATGTCCATGGGCGGCGGTTTTCACTTAACATCAGGAGAACCGCCAGCTCGCTTGCCACCTTGTCACATAAAAAAAGGTACAGAACATAAGAATATCTTCCATATTCTTTTGGAAAGTCAAAGCAATTATTTTCGCATACACTCTGCGAAGTTCAGTGTACTAACCAATTTTAGAAGTCCGTCTTCACCGATCGACTTGAGGAGGCCTTTGACGTCCATCTGACCAAGGCGAAGAATGTACAGCGGGCGGCCGTCTGTTCCAGCAGTAATTACGTTAACAACATCTAGTATTCTTCTTATTTCAATCTTGTAATCTATTACAAGTTCAACTAAGAAATCACCTGCAACTTTGTTTAAGTAATGGCACCTCATTCAGCAAGGTATAGTAGCCCTTTTAGTGAGACTTACACTCGAAGAATCAAATGATGGCAGACATGAGCAGATACATGAGGTCACTTTCGTAGTAAAATTTAACAAATACATCATTAAAAATTAAAGGATTCAAGTTAAACATTTATTACTCGACGTCCTGCAATACACATAAACGATTTCATTTATGCCCACTTAGCTAGTGCAACTAAACAATAATAATAATTTTTATTTGCCTTTAAACTGGGTGATTAAGAAAACGGATTACTGATCTGCAAAGTTCAGCGATAATATATGGCATGCAAATATTCATAATTAAAAAAAAGTAGGGAGGTAGTCAAGATAAAAAAAAATAACTTCGACAGAAAGGAGTTTGAGTCATTGCACCCTTACCCTTGTCGTGGTGGTGCCATGCGCCCGGGAAGTACTGCTTCACCACTTCGGGCGTCTCGTACTCCGAGAGTAGTCGGTCTACCTGGTGCTTCTTGCGCCACAGCAAAGACTGCGAGAGCATCTCCCGCGCCTTCTCCACGTTGAAGTCTCTAGCGCGGAGGAAGCGGAGCAGGGTGGTGTCGCTTGGCACCTGGTGATGGTCAGATGTAAAAGAGAAGTAAAGTAACCGCCTATATACGACCCACTGCTGGGGGAAGGCCTCCTCTATACAGTGTGTATCAGGGCATAGCCCACCACGCGGCCGCACTGCGGATTGGCGAACATGTATAGGTAAGTAAATATGTAGGTTTCCTCACGATGTTTTCCTTCACCGCTGAGCACGTGATAAGTCAGCACTTAGAATTAATAGTTACATCATATTGAATTAAAAGCGATCATCCGGACAGTGAGCTATCATTGATTGTTCGCATTAGAAAAACGAAATGGTATGGTTTTACTGATGTTGTACGACCGAACGTTCGTTCGAACACTTATGTTAGTAAAATATTAATTATCTATGAATAATAATAACCTGTATTCATTAAAGTAACCGCGAAAAAAAAACCGTTAATTTATTCTCATACAATAATGTGTAATATTCGCGTAAATCCAACACATCATTAAGTGTTATTTTCGAAAAATAAAACAAAGTAGTATTGTATAAAACTGTTAACCTCCTTCAAAAGTTAAAATTGTTGGAAGTGTAAATAAGAACAAGAAACATCTAAAGGCTTTCGAAAAGCAAAGGCGAAGCCCGCGTCTGATTTATTCGAGATAGGCATAATATATTCATTTTCAATAAGTTATGAAACTCTTATTGGTTCGTGTAATGTTAAATTTATTCATCTTACCCTATATAAAATTAAAGTTTCCATTAGCACACATTTCCGATGTGGCGAGGGACCGCAGAGATTTGCCCTCAGTTTACTAAACTGTTTTATGATATATCATTCATCGATATTTCATAAATTACTAGCGGATCCAACAGATCCCGTACACGCGACTTAAATCCGACAACAACTTATAAAAAAAGAAAACAAAAACGAATTGTGAATCTAAACCATTCTCGAATTGATCAAGACACACAAAAAATTTAAATCGGTCCAGCCGTTTAGAAGTTCAGTGACATACACAGGTACAGAAGAATTATATATATATATATATATATATATATATATATATATAAAGTTTAGTTTTTACTTTTTACGGTATCACCGTCATTTTTCCTAGAATATTAATATTCTGTATATAAATACATTTGTCATCGCAATCTGAAGTGTCAAATTGTTAAAAATAAACGTAACTTTTACAAATATTCCAACACAAATTGTTTCTGTATTACGGTGATGTGATATTTTGAATGGTTAAGAAAAGCTTGAAAAGTCTCAATAGACCCACTCCTCGCTTTCAAAACGGTACAAATTTGGAGTGCGAGTATAAATTGAGACTACGACGGGAGATTTCGGCGAACATTTACGCTGGACTTCGTACACTTAAAGATAAAAAACCGGCCAAGTGCGATTCGGATTCGCGCACGAAGGGTTCCGTATCATTATCTCTAAAAATGGCAAAAAGAAACCATGTCTGTCGTATGATGGCAAGCCCCACTTAAATATTTTTTATTCTGTTTTTTAGATTTGTTGTTGTAGCAATACAAGGAAATAGAAATCCATCCTTTGTGAAAACTTCAACTGTCTAACTATCACGATCTATGAGATGGACAGACAGACAGACAGACAGACAGTGGAGTCTTAGTAATAGGGTCCCGTTTTACCCTTTGGGTACGGAACCCTAAAAAGTTAAGCGTCGCGTCGGTCCGGTAGTTCGAGGTAATGGCTCGATAAAACCTCGGAGGCCCAAAAGGGTCCGGTGTCAGCGGAGCGGATGTAATTGGTAGATTAAATACGGCGGATCTGCTTCAAGGGCGGTACGGGATTGGGCGGGCGCGCGCCCTTGATGCCGGAGCGAGATTTACGATTTCCATTATGGCCCGACCGTTGGACCTTGACAAAGTTCAGACTAACTAATGTTATAAAGATAAAATCTTTTTTTTTTCTTAAAACATTGCCCTTACTTTAGGATAACATTATCCTGTTGTAAGGACGTTTCACAAACATAAATTTCACGCGGACAAACACCCAGATACGAAACAACTGTCTGTGGTTCACATATTGTTTTCTTGATTTTACGCGAATATTATACATATTAAATGAAACTACCTACTTTACGGATTTCATCGTTTCTTTTTTTTTATTTTAATTGAAATTCCCGACGTTTCGAACCCTTTCACCGTTCATGGTCAGTCTGTCCCGTGACCATGAACGCTGAAAAGGGTTCGAAACGTCGGGAATTTCAATTAAAATAAAAAAATGCGATAAAATCCGTAAAGTAGTTTCATTTAACTGTCTGTGGGTCACACAAACAGTTGTCTCGTGTGGGAATCGAACCCACGACCCCCAACGCCGAAGCCAAAACATTGGCAACTGCGCCACGGAGTCATCTGAAGATGGAACACTATAAATAGTGAGGTTCTTAGGGCATGTAACGAGAAAGTCATCAGTTTTCAAGTACCCATAGTTTGGGCGTTGCTTAGTTTGGGACTAGAGAACATTTTCTAAAAATGTGTCCGCAAATATTTAATATTTAAAGAAATTAGGTAGAAGAGGTCTGGATAGAGGTAGAACTCCTACAGGCCTCAACAAGGCTTCCAGCGATTGAAATTGAGAGTGAATGCTGGATCCCACATCATCGCTAAAAAGACCCATATGAACCAACAATGGGAAGTGTGCCAAGTGGCCGAATAAGAAGAACACTAATGTATATTGGGCTCATAAACTCACATTTAAATTTCATCTTGAGTAATAAAAGGTAAAATAATGATATAAATCTTCGTTTGAACCTTGAATTATTTTAAGATACATAATAATAACTTGCCCATCTCCCAAAAGGCTAGGAACAAATTATTTTTATGTATTTATGAAGGTAGTTTACTTTTGTCATTTTGATTATTCTGTTAAGATTAGACCGCATTGAAAATTTAAAACGGAATAGTTAAAACTTTAATGCATCGTATGCTTTTATGAAGCTAGTAAATTTTTGGTCTTTAATAATCTCCAAATCACACAATTGATTGAACAGCGTCAAGCTATAAGGCTAAAATACTCCCGCTATTAAAATTAAAGTTTCAAGCGATGAAATTTCTAAGTTTAGAACATTTCGATAATCTCGAAATACTTTAAAAAATGATACTTCTCGTCGTCGTTTCTTTTTCTTTGTTTTGCCGTTATTGGTTCACAGACCGCATTTTATAAAGTTTTTATTTTATCTTCCTCCTTACCGTAAAACGTTTAGAGACTACATATGCTGTGGTACACTGTTCGATTTTATATTAATTTATTGGTTAAATCGATTATGCACGCTTACTTATCTCATATTTGTTTTTGGGTTTAACCATAAACGATTAAGTCACGATGTTTGTGTCTGGGAATATTGAAGGTCATTCAATGTCGGATCATAAGTGGTACGTTCACTAATGAGCTGGTTTGTAATTGCATGTGCTTTAACCGGTTTTGGCCTTTTCGCATTGCGTGCGTTTAACTATGGTATGTCATCTAAGGGCCATCGAGGTTGCGGTTCGGACCGGGACCCCGATGGTCGTCGACTGTGTTTTTAGCTAATCGGCCCAGCTCTGTTATGGATGTCTACGGGCAGCCGGTTACTAACTATTAAGGTTGGCCTATTTACCACCTCTTAAAAACCCACCTTTCCCTTCTGTAGGTCAGCAATCCACTTGCGCAGCTGCAGCAGGCGGGACTCCTGCATTGGCGTCAGCTCCCCAAGGTACCGCTTGATGTACTCGCTGTCCAGCGTGTACTGGTCTGTAACAAGGAATGGAATGGAGGACCTTAATTAACTGCCAACGTGAGCTTTAGATAATAAGTTCTCGTTTTAGCAGCGATTACATTTACGAAATCCGATATATATTAACCACTCATGTTTACATGTGATTTGCATTCTTGTATCTTGTATTAACTGATGTTTTTGCTTTCAGTCCCGAGACTATTAAAGCTTCATCTGACGCAGAACCGGTGGGCTAGCCAGAACCCACGGGTTTGGGAGATTTGCATTACAGTGGTAGGGCCACGAAACATTCTTCGACGCACGAATGGATCGCTCGGGAAGTCCACAACCTCACAGAAGACCGGGGCGAATTGGAAGTGTTACACTCCTGGTGAGTGAGGTTACCGGGACCCACTTAAAAGGTGGCAGCGCGTCTGCAACTCTACGGGTGTTGCACATGTCCATGGGCAACTGTTATCCATTAACGTTAGGTGAACCTGTCGCACATGCCACCTTCTCACATTAGAAAAAACTAATTTTTTACCGTCTAGTGCAATGGATGTAATAAAATGGCAAGTCCACTATGTGGTCTACCTGATGGTAAATTGGGAGACGATGCAGCGAAAATGGTAAACGTGTTACGAGTACTCTCTTAACAAAAACCTATGCACTCTTTGACTGTAGGACGTTAATGTAATATTTTTACATAACATAGTTTTTTTTTTTTTTTTTTTTTTTTATTTCGTACTGGCCAGCACTTGACTGCCATCCCACCTGATGGTAAGTGGCGATGCAGCCTTTGATGGTAAGCGCGCTAGCTCAGTAAAAACCTATTCACTCTTGCCTTGCCTAAATTGGTAAGTTACTAAATACAAATTCATGATAATTTTTACTTTCGTCTCTACAACATCAGTAATATATCTTCTTCTTTTTCAATTCTTGTAATTAATGGAATCGTTGTCGGTAACTATTAATTTCAGGTTTTGATTGATTTTAGCTATTCTCGGCACTACAGGAACTTAGAGGTATCTTCGCTAACATTTTGTTCCAGAGTGGAATTTTTTTTATATTCAAATTCATTAATCATTTTTGTTTCTTTCATTCATCATCATTAACATTTGATATATTTTACTTAATCGATATACCTATTAGATTATACTCTATTTAATAGACGAAAACTGGGTATAAAAGATTTCATTCTTAAAAAATATGGAAGGTGCTAATAAAAGACTGAAATAAATTAAAGTTTTTTTTTTTTTTAATGTGATAAGTTGTCAAACGAGCAGACGGTTCACCTAATATTAAGTAAATACCGCCGCCCATGGACATCTACACTCGAGGGTTCCAGATGTGTTGACAACCTTTTGGAAATCGGGCTCCGGCCACCTCACTCTCCCGACGAAACGCGAAAGTATTATACTTCCACTTTACGCCGGTCTTCTATGAGGTCGTGGTACTTACCCGCACGAGCCTGCCCATTCGTGCAACAGCCGAGGCTGCTGCGTGGCCCTACCACCGTTAAAAAGTGGAAATAAACTTAAAAAAAAAAACTGAACCGAGATAACATGGGAGTAAACATATTTGCGCAACGTAGGTGTACATGAAATAAAGTTTTAATTTCATTCAAAACAAAATTAAAACTCGCTAATGAAGTTTGCAACGAATATTAATTAGCCGTTGACCGTCGTAAACTATACGCTCGCCTGCATTTGGGTCTTGGTCGCAAACTGCATTAGTTTTTTTTTATGTGAAAGGTTGCCAAGCGAGCAGACGGTTCACCTGATATTAAGTGAATATATACCGCCCATAGACATCTGCTACACCTGAGGGTTGCAGATGCGTTGACAACCTTTTGAAAATTGGGCTCCGGCCACCTCACTCACCAGACGAAACGCGAAAGTATTATAGTTATTGCTGCCAAACGAAAAACCAGTCGGAATCCAATTTGCGGGCTCATGATAACTGTGGCAATGGCACTGCGTGAAATTCGCGGGAAGATAAGAGAAGCGATAAAAACCCTGTACATTCTCGCTTAGACCCTCGCCGAGTCGCAACCTTGACTCCGATGCATAACTTAGCTTAGCAAATTAATACCTAAGATGCCGTTTTAAATCTACTTTAATTAGGTTCTGTTTGTGCTCAGTTGGCATGCTATGCGGCGGAGATCAACACTTGATAAGTATTCTAGTGTATAAGTAGAGTAATTATCTGTTTTCACCGTCGATACCTAACTTTAAGGGTAATTACCTAAAAATTTTAATGCTAGTTTCGTTTTCACGACCACTTACGCCACCTTTAGGTGAGTCCCTTATTATCAAGTCTTAAGCGGTACCCCTAATTTGGTGAAAATGAATTTTGGTGACGGATTCATTTAGGGAATCCTTGGTAAAGGAGCGTTCATGGGTACAATAGGGAAGTCGGGCATATGTGTCCAAAAATGTTTGATACGATTGCATTTTTTTCATTTATTGTATAGAAGATCTCCAAACACAGGTGAATCTTATTCGTATTTTTGATTAGATAGAATTGATATAGCAGTTGGGTGGTCTTTAGAAGTGAACATAATAATAGTGTAAAAGCACATTCTTTGAAGGTACGATGGGGCGTTCAATGTATTCTCGGTATAGGTATGAAAGATTAAGCAGAAAATACTGAATGAAATTTAACTTTCAATGTAGACTCCCATGACCTCAAAACACTTATTTGAGTGGGAAAGTAACTTTTCAATACCCTCTATTTTTCTTTCTCCTCCGAAAATATCTTCATCAATTGCTATATTCGACTCTTCATCTTCGGAAAACTGTTTACCTCGAAGATCTTTCACCACACAGCTCCAAAAACTCCAACTATCAACTCGCACTTGTTTCCGAAACGCGATGGGCATTCGCGGCTCCCATCATGCACTGACCTTTGACAGATTCAGATGCTCATGAATGCATCTTTCGAGCACATAGTTTTTCAACGATTTTGACGTTTCCTTTTGTAGCCGGCCAGAAATATTAACAAAAACTAACCGACCGACCGACACGGCGTCGACTAATCTAATAGACCACTTCTGAATAGTAGATAATGAAAGATCGGTATCTTGGTAAACGGCCACCATTTCTTCCTAAATAACTTTCTAAATCTTTCCTTGTTTTGGAAGGAATTTTATCAAAGCGCGATGCTCGATTTTTCGACATTTCTGTGTCAGTGATCGTATTTTTTTTGTAATGATATTTTGAATACTAATGTTTTTTTCTCTTTTAGTTTAACACTGCCCTTACTTTGGGATAACATTACCCTGTGTTGTAAGATTTTTACAAATATAAATTTCACGCGGACAAACACCCAGAAACAACTATCTGTGGGTCACACAAATAGTTGTCCCGTGTGGGAATCGAACCCACGACCCCCGACGCCGAAGCGGATACCTTGGCGACTGCGCCACGGAGTCATCAAATTACTGTTTGAAATTAATGAATGCTGATAATAAAATGAGATTTTATCGAGGAAACATTGAACGCCCCTCATACATTATTCGAAATTCCCTATGCTGGACGAAAAAATTAACAACGGTTCATTGTGCATTGCTCTGGGATCGAATATCAAGCTCGATGACACATAACTATGGCTCCATGACACATCATTATCAGCCTGCACCAACCCATATGTGGACATAGTCCTTCCTCAATGCTTTTCCAATATCGCCTGAATTATTCTGGTTTCTCAACTTTCGTCGGCAGACCTTCAAGTGGAAAGATCCGTCTTCGTCACCTGTCACGATATAATAGGCTGTTCTGTATTCAACTTTATCCATTAGTTTACGGCACCACCATACATGATTTAATGGAGAACTATAACTAGGCGTCATAGTTCAATCCAGTGATATCCAATGAGTTGCTTCCAAATCCTCAGGAGGACATAAGAAATGTTTTCCACTTGGCCCATTCCAACCCCTTATACAGTACGGAGTTTGCTGACACGTATTTGTTAATTTCAATCAGTTGTCGTAAGTTATTATTCTGTAACTACAGTCACCGGAAGGCCCTAACATACAACTCAGAGATGATCACTTTAAAGTTTAATTCTCCTAAGTACCGCCAAATGCCAATTAAAGTCTCTTGTTGACTTAAGCCACAGCGAAAATCATAAAAAAACACTGGCGAAAGTTTTCACGAGGCAAATTCATTGTAACAGCGACGCAATTTTCTTAAGGACCATGACGCATGAAAATAACGATGAAAGTCTCATAAATTACAAAGTGATGTTTGTAGAGAGTTCTCTTTTCTAGATTTTCTACTGTAAGTTCCAGAAACTTTCAATATGACACCACTAAAACTATTTTAATCTTAACGTAATAGAAAGACGTACACGATTCTAGATTAAAGTTTATTGTTTTTACAATTTTAATACTAATGAAGTTCTATTCTTCAATATTGATTAATATCAATTATGAAAAATAGGTATAAGACAGGAAGAATACCGTATAAATATTATGAATATTTCACATACGTAAGGTGTCGTCAGCTGTGCGTTTCGCAAGCTAGTGTCCCGGGAATAGACACGGGGTCAAGGCTGTACCCGAAATCGGGTTTCCGCCAACCAGACCTTCATGTTAAAGCTCCATTGATTTTCGCAAATAGGCGTCGGCGATTTGTTTCACTTGATTCCTAACGACAGCGATGAACAGTATATATCTTTTAACTAACTATATATCAGTAGGTATATATCTTTTAACTACACTTTGCGCAAGTTGGAAATGAAAATTACTCAAGTCCTAACTGACCGCTGAGTGCAACCGCTATTAGTGTAATTGGCAACAGTGAATGAACGGAAAATTAACGGTTAAAAGAGTAATGAAAAAGAAATAGAAATGAAACAGCTGAATATAATACGCTGGCTCACTTTCAAATGGCCCAATTGTGCGACAGGCGGTAACAGCATTAACAAAGGCTGATCGTGAACAGATTACCAAAGTTTCTTGATAGGCGCTGTGTAATATTACGAAAGTCTTTAAATGGATATACATTATACATGAATATAGGAAATGAATACGAAAGCAAAATATAAATTAGCAGGAGGAGAATTTTCAGAATCGATAAAGCTAAGTTTTACAGTGGTAGGGCAACGCAACACTGTTGCACGAATGGGCAGGTCCGTCCGGGTAAGTACCACGACCTTACAGAAGACCGGCGTAAAGTAGAAGTGTTACACTTCTGCGTTTCCTATGGTGAGTGAGGTAGCCGGGGCCCACTTTATTTAAAGTTTGCAACGCATTTGCAACCCTACGGGTGTTGCAAATGCGCGGCGATCATCACTTAACATCAGGTGAACCGCCAGCTCGTTTGTCGCTTAAGAAGCCGTGGTCTGCAGTAACATCAGACGAATCGACCGCTCGCTGTCCACCATCTCTCAATAAGCAACTGTTTAATGACTACAAAGCTTGTAATAAAATTTGAAAAGCTGAAGTTAACTCATCGGTTAAGATCTGCTAACTGGAACTGGAATCTGTAGTGGAGACCCTAGTACAGATTCCGGTTCAGACTATGCCTGATCTGACGCAAGCCAGATATAAAACATTAGTTGTTTATCTATACTCGATCAGTTCGATAAAAGTGACGCATCCTTGCCCGAATACTAGCTCGGAGAATTTCACCTGCCACTGAAGAGGCTATACGATTGGGCTATTTAATTATTGTAACGTCCAGTTCTTAAGATAATTATCATAATGTCTCCTCGAATGTATTCAAGATTCAATAAAGCTCATTATTTTTGTTGCAAATAAATCTTATTTAATCCTAAGCGTATATAATTTCATTGTGACGGTTCGATGATAATCGTGACATAAGTACAGAGTAAAAAAAATGCTATGTCTCCGGGAACACGGGAGGGTAAAAAAGTGGGCAAACTATTTCAAGCACGTTTTAAATATGAAACTAGTGTACTATACTACTGAGAGCGTCACAAATCCTCTCGCGACGTGTTTTATATGACGTTAAGTTGATATATGACAGTCGTGACGTCACAACTTGCGTTGTGGGCGTCGTGCGACCATAACGCCCACGCGCAATTGCGATGTTGCGATATTAGAATTGGACGTAGTTATGCAATATTAACAACTCATACGAAAATATTTACTAAGCCCAATCGTGCAAATAATTGTAATTTTCTTTTGTAACAATATCTTCGGTATTTATATACTTTAAGGCAAGTGTATGTTTTTTAAAATTAAAGCCTGATAAAATGAAAGATGATCTGTGGTGTATTTTTATGTTGGAGCCATCTCGGATAATTACGTCCAATTTATTGAACTGCGGAATATCTAATGATGTTATTACTCCAAAGTCAGTTGTCAAGATGACAACAGAGAAAAACGTAACACATATAAGTACCGAGTTTTAAAACCAGACAATCGTTTCTTTGTAGACGTATTTATATATGTATAATAAGTGACATCCACAAACAAGTAAAAACAATTTCAATATGTTAAATATTATAATGTCGAAGAATAAATAGTCTTAGAATATACTTGCAAGTTCCGTCTTATTAGAATAAGACAGAGTTTCTTGCCTGTTCTTCTCAAGACAAATCTAAATCACTGTGTATAATTTGTAAAGCGGAAGTTAACTCATCGGTTAAGATCTGCTAAGCGGAACCGAAATCTGTAGTGGTGACTCTAGTACAGATTTCAGTCCGGCACATGCCTAATCAAATGCAAACTACATATAAAACTTTAGTTGTTTACAGGACTCGATCAGTTCGATAAAAGTGGCGCATCCTTGCAGCTTGCTTTTTACAGCTCAAAACAAGCCTATATTGAAGAAATGAACTTCGACTTTGACTTTGAGAAATAATTATCGAAACATATTTCGATTAACATAAAGCATATCAAGCTAAAACTGTTCAAATAATGTCGTGTTCAAATTATTCTCGCATTCCTGCGCACCGAATAATTCGCAGGGTACGTGCCTCGAAAGGGAGCTCGTAAAATTTAACGCGAGTAAATCGGTGAGACGCCTCCCATTCAACAAATTACAGTATTCGCGATAACAGAGATAATTTGAACAGATGAATTTAAGGCTATTCACGAGCAAATAGTCGTAAAGATATAGCTAGCGGTACGACAGAGGACATTTATTGCAAAAATTGATCAGGTGATATAGCATGCGCTAGACCTTTCCTGCTAATTGATTAGGTTAATTTGATAAAATTAATCATTCGAATAATATGACACACAGACATATTCTCGTGAATGTTGAAGTCACTATGGAGAAAGTCAAAAGCTGGATCTCTGAGTACCTCCAGATTTAACGGGCGTTTTTTGGGTTTGTTTTTCTATTGCGCAAACTTCATTTCATCACACGTCTTGATAAGTATTACGATATTTTATTCATTTGTAGTAGTATCTCACATACACACACATGAGTTTGTTAGGATGCAAGTGATTTTAATTTTGATAGAATTAAACATTTTGCAGGAACTATTTTGTCCGTAAAGTAAGGATAACTTTTAAGATTAAATTCTTTCACTGTTTCCTAATCAGATGTCATCGGTGATCAAGGAACTAAAATGACTGATCCTGTCTTGGTTAGGACAACGATTAAATAGCCGAAATCAATACATACACATACCTTTGCTGCTACTATGTACGATCCTTCCTAATATGATTTAAAAAAATATTAAATATCACGCTTAAGTTCTAGACAAAGGTTCACTGAAAAAAAAAAAAAAAAACGACGAGCAGACACGATATATTGAGAATAAATAGTACCACTGCTTCCGCTTATCTACAGCCGCCCGCGGCTGTCGACGTACATCAGGGAGAGGGGCAGGGAGAGCATTAGGATCACGGCGAGGAGGAACACCACGAGAAGGGTCCAAGCGTTGCGGTTGAGCAGACAGTCGCGAGGGTCGCAATCGCACGATTTGAACTCCTCCAATCCCCTGCCACCAGAGCCCCGTCTGGGGAAGCTGGGCTCGGACAGCGTGACACGCTTCCCGTCGAGCCGCGTTCTGGACTCCGTGGAAGTAGACTTGTGGGGGCGGACGTCCGCCCGTTCCTCAAGATCCGCGGCTGCCCTCGAGGTGGACGATTTGGACCTGAGACGGATCCGCGAAAGGCTCGGCGCTGACTCGGAGGCGAGCTTCGACGCCGATTTGCTCCGCGTCCGCACGCTGCTGATAGACCGCCGCAGTGAGAGGGCGCTCGATTTCTTCGAGTGACTCGAGGTGCCTGCGGGCGGAAAGGGCGGTTAGGACGCGGGGTCTGGATGAGGATGGGGGCGAGGACTGGGAGGTGGATGGACCGGCTTCTGGTAAAGTTAGTGACGTCACTGTACGCCATTGAAGGTTGAGATAACACGTAGAATTTCATTGTCATTCCGTTTCGATAGAGTGGTTACGCTGTTTATACTTGCCCGACATGATAAAAACTATTTAGAGGTCCAGAGAAACATTTGTCTATCACTAAGGCTCTACGAAGTTTATTTACTTACAAACAGTCCATTAACTATATATAGGGTTTAGTATCGTTAATTCGGACGTAAGGTTAAGAAGATTATAGATCCCCTTTATCTGCAAAAAAATAAAACGTAGGTGCCTTAGCAAGATCTTACAAGGATTAACCTAAACGACCTCGTAATAGCTCCGTAGGTTTTTTAGGGTTCCGTACCCAAAGGGTAAAACGGGACCCTATTACTAAGACGCTGTCTGACTGTCTGTCCGTCCGTCTGTCACCATGAAGCGTGATAGTTGAATTTTTCACGGATGACGTATTTCTGTTGCAGCTATAACAACATTAAAAAAATATTCAAGTCGGCCTCCCATACAACGGACACCATTTTTTGCCGTTTCCATAGATGGCACGGAACCCTTCGTGAGCGAGTGTGACACGCACTTGGCCGCTTTTTAATTATGGGACCCATCGAACAACGCACGTATTGCGGGGCCACCTGGCGAGTTCACAAGCGGTTCATAAATAATTTCGCGTACTTCAGCCTGAAGGTTCGCTGTGTGAGCCCGTCCACGCTCATCAAATATGTACACGTATTGTTCAGGCGTTGGACGGCGAGACCTTTGCCGCGTCACCGCCTCCAAGGGCGTGGACGTGTGAAACAAACGTAAGGGCTGTGTTGGCGTCGCATTTATTTATGCCCGGTTCCTATATTGAACGAACGGCCGCGAGTTACATAGCTTCGTAACTTTCACAACGACTTGTAGATTACAGGAGCGCTAGTAACTCACTTTCCATAGGTAACGCAACGGCTCGTAAGGAAAACGCCTAGTTTTGTTATTATAGGAATCGGGTGAACACGACTTATATATACAAGTCGTTATGAAAGTTACGAAGCTATGTAACTAACGGCCGTTCGTTGAATGAATCCTACATTAGAACGTATATCATGTCTGCTATTGGTCGACAGTCGCATAATGTGCTCAAAGGTAAAAAAAGTAGCATTTATTTCGCATTCTATACTCTAATCCAACTCTGAAAGCGTATTCAATGTCGGGCGTGATCAATTGATTTAAATGATTTCATTTAATAGCCTAAGAGCCGGAACTTCTTTTTCTTTTAAAAAACATTATCCTTAACCGAAACAATTACCTGTGGGTCACACATATATTTGTCCCATGATGGAATCGAACCCACAACTCGATTATATCTAACGAATCGCCAGCGGTATTTCCGGACCGATACAACTTAGGGAGCTTCAAGAAGAGCCTACTCCTATCTTAAAGGCCGGCAACGCAATTGCGACTCAACCGATGTTGCAAATGTCCATGGGCGGCGGTGGTCGCTTATCACTAGGTGAACCGCGTGCTCTTTTGCCTCCTATTCTCATAAAAAAAAAGAAAAAAAACTACCCCATGGGCGTCGAAGCCACTGCGCCGCGGAGTCGTAAACCACCTTTACCACAGTATTGTTTTGTGACGGCAAAATTAGTTTAATTAAAACGGCGGCAGACCGGTTCAACCCTAGAGCACGGCGTGTGTGCCCTCCCCCTGCTTTAGGGTGGCTTTGCCAACGGCTTTTGGAGGATACGCTGACCCAATTGTTCCATTAGCCGTTCCAAGGATAGTTTCAAATTTCAAAACGTCAACTATTATCTATTCAGGGTAAATAGTTCAAATATCTTGTCGTACGCTATGAACTACATATCACCATCGTTTCACAATAATAACTGGCCGAAGAAAACATTGTAACGAATGTAATCAATAGAACCTGTTCTCAGATAAATCGAATGAAAATAAAAAAATGAATAAACTACTGGAAAATAAAAAAAATACTTTATTTATTATAATGATTATATAATATCTACCGACATTCAAGAATTATAGCAGCACTGTTTTAAGACGACATAAAAGTGTCGCAATTAATTTTATCTCCTCGATTAAGTCGAAGGTCGTCTAATAGCGTAGTGGGAACTCACATCCGCGTCGATTAAATAGCACTAAACTGGTGAGTGATATAAGCCGCTGTTTCGTTAGGGACGTCGTGATGGAACGGAGACGGATCTCACTCACTCTAATGGTAGGAGAGTGAGTGAGAGGATGTCACCCTGGACCTAAATGAACATGCATCGATTGGCGCTATACTGTGGTATGACGGTAGAGAAACTATGCGTTACCGACGAGCATGCATGCGTAGATGTATGGAACGGGCATACCGACTCCGTGGCGCAGTTGCCAAGGTATTGGCTTCGGCTTCGGTCGTGGGTTCGATTCCCATACAGGCCAGCTGTTTGTGTGACCCACAGATAACTGTTTCGGATCTTGGTGTTTATCCACGTGAAATTTGTGTACGTAAAACGTACAATTAGGGCAATGTTTAAAAGCAAGTGCGTATCGGACGCGCGCACGAAGGATTTCGTACCACAATATATAAAACAACAAAAAAAATCATGTCTGTTGTATGAGAGCCTTTTTTATTCTGTTTTTTAGTATTCGTTGATATAGCGGCAATAGAAATATATCATCTGTGAAAATTTCCACTGTCTAACTGTCACAATTCATGAGATACAGCCTGATGACAGACGGACACATAGACGGACAGCGGAGTCCTAATAATAGGGTCCCGTTTTAGGTGAGCTTTCAAAGGGAAAATTATTCACTATCTTAGACTTCTGGCATCTGACAAGGTCGTGCCTCAACTCTGTTTCGGTACATCTGCATATATATGTCGTAATGCAGTCTGTTGCGCCGCAAACTTGAAGATTCGTTAGCGAATTAACGCAGGATGCGCCTCCAGTATTGGCGTACGGCCAATGCAGATTAAATAATCCTATTTATACTGCCACGCGTTTTGCGTCACACGTTGTGTGTTTTGCGGAGCTGGAGTTATTGTCCTTTAGACGTAACACCCCAAGTTCCGTTAGAGAGATTAAAATTAATTTTAATACGAATAATAATAACAATAATAATTTTTAGGACACATTTTTACACATCTTTCTCTAGTCCCAAACTAATTGTAAGCAACGCGTGTACTATGTGTATAACATACTTAACATAATTTTCTTTTGTAAATAAATACATATTTTACATATATAAACACCCAGACACTAGAAAAACACAATATTTTTCCCGTAGTGTGGATCGAACCCACGCCCTCTGGCGCAGAAGGCAAGTACTGCCCACTACGCCATTCGGGTCGTCGAAATCACTTACATCTCACTAATTTATCATCGTTCACTTTGCTCACCAAAGGAATCGATCTTGCTTACTCTCCGTACCATTGCAATGTGGGCATGTTATATATCGAAGTGGGTTTTACTAAATTCTGCTATCACCTAATACTGCACTGGTTAACGTCACATGGAAATTAAGTCAAGCATTAGACTGTGCGTAATAAGTAGTTTTAAAAACAACGAGAGGATTTGATCCCATCAATGGATGAATGTGCAGTCGTATGTAAAGAATTATTACACATATTGTATGTCGATACGCGTTTCCTGATAAAAATGCCGACGGAATGGTGATAAGAATATTGTATTATTGATATGCATAAAAGTCCAAACGTTTTTTTTTTTATGTGAAAAGTCGCCAATCGAGCAAACGGTTCACCTAATGTTAAGTCAATTCCGCCGCCCATGGACACCCAAGAGTTCCAGATGCGTTGACAACCTTTTGAAAATTGAACTCCGGCCACCTGACTCACCAGACGAAACGCGGAAGTATTATACGCCGGCCTTCTGTTAGGTCGTGGTACTTACCCGGACGGGCCTGCACATCCGTGCAACAGCCGAGGCTGGTGCGTGGCCCTACCGTGAGTGAGGTAACCGGAGCCCAATTTCCAAAAAGGTTGTCAACGCATCTGCAAACCCTCGGGTGTAGCAGATGTCTATGGGCGGCGGTATTCACTTAACATCAGGTGTTAAGTGAATACCGCTATAATATACTCCACCGCCTGCGCAATTTTCTTAAAAAGTGGTACAAAGTTTTTGCTTCACGTAGATATATGAGTCGCGAAACTTATGAAGTAAGGACAAATATTAGGTTGTTTAGTATAATTTTACGTTATATACGAGATCGGATCCAAGAAAACATTGCCCATACTGTATGATAACATTATACTAAGTTGTAAGGTCGTTTTACATATATATAAATTTCACGTGAACAAACAAACAGATCCGAGTCAATCTGTGGGTCACACAAATAGTTGTCCGGTGTGGGAATCGAACCCACGACCGTCGGCGCCGATGCCTTGGCAACTACTTTTGACTCAATCATTCTTATTCATTAGGCGCAATTTACGTTTATACTATTTAATCGAAATTCGAAATATTGAATCGTAACGCAACGATGTGAACGATGTCTCGTAAGTGAACGAGACAGATATAATTTCGTAATCGACAAACGACAATTAGGTCGCACGTGGATGGATGCTGATTATCGTTGTTTTAGGCAAATTTCTTTAATACAACGTATCAAAGCTGAACTAACAAAGTGTACATATGACTCATTGTTCAAAGAACTCTTCTGTGGTCAAGCTATTTGGAAACAACACGCGTGCCTTAATATAAATTACATAAAATATCTTCAATGTACATACAAAGTCGACGTATTAATCAAATTCAACATATATGCAAGACGAAAGAGTATTCATCGAGACATATTTCGCAAAGCTAAAACAATTTTTCTCGCGTCAAAAATTTTGAAAAATCCAAACTGACAAGTTTCTTCCCCAAGAAATATACGGCAAAAAAGTAAGTAATTTAACTTTACTTTACTTTTATTTGGCAAGGATCTGTAGGAGGATAAAAGATCGTGCATTCATGACCTCCGCGGAGCGATTGGTGCTTGCAAAACAGCATTGCGCTTTGAACTTATGCCAGTATAGATTCTGCACTATTTTTTACTACTATTATTTTGCTTATATTCAGAACTAAAATGGCGGACTACATGTATACCTTGTGGTATACCCTGGTATATCTTGTGCACGATCTTTCGAAATAACTTCTATTCAGAACTAAAATGGCGGACTACCCAACTGTTCATTATTCGATTTAGTAAACAATATTTGATTGGACGAATGGTGCAATAGTCTTGGGTGGTCACATAGTCAGCTGCAATACACTGCGTTGTGGGTTCGAGTTTCAGACGAAAAGAAAATTTGTGCGCATCATAATTATTTGTTTTAATTGTGGACGCACTTTGTGTCCGTAAGTATTTTTGATTAACTAAATATGTTGTGTTTGTAATTATAATTATAATTTAGTGGCCTGTGTGGCCACAGTATTACATAAACGTGTGTTGATCAAAGACAATTTATGTTACACATTATGTTAATTTATAATGCGGCAGTCTTGGACAAGTGGCTGGAAATTTCGTTCGTAGGCGTCAATGACGTCCTATTGAGTTTTCTCATTTACGTTGTTCACACGTGCAACAATCATTGTTATTACAATTTGTAAAATCTGTCACATTTTGGGACTTTAAAATAAGCGAAAAAGGATGTCCTATTTCCATTGAATATGGAAAGTCTTATTTGAAGTAGCTTATCACAAAAGTATGCAATATGTCATTACGATTTGAAATTTTGAACAATTTCTGTGTCCAGTGTCATAGTCCTCGATGTCTATAGTGAAGCAGTATAGGTTGTAAGTCAACTGTTATACAAATAATAGCCGATCCGGAACACTACGTGAGCCAAGCGGTGACCTAGACACGAGTCGCATTCAAGTCACGTCTGCGACATTGAATGTCTTGCACTTTCACGACGCCACACAATAAAATGTTTGGGTCGTTGAGTGAAGATAAACTAAAAAGATGTTAGTTATAATGTTAAGGCATTAATATAATGTTAAGGTTATATATAATGTTAAGGTATTAATAAAATGTATGGACAAAAAAAAACACAAACAGAACATTTCCGTGATATCACAAACGGAACATTCCTATTAAAGCAACCAGTCTCGAGTATTCGACAAGTGGCATCTAAAAAAAAAACAAAATTTCAACGCTCCTTTGTGTCTCGTCATGATCTGACGTTCGAGGAAATCCCCGAGCCGTGGTAAACACATTTCAAATCCAACAATTGTTTATAAACATCTGTAGCGCAGAACAATGCTACAGAAAGAGAGGAAGGAAGGAAAGAGAGAGAAACTAAATAAAACACAACCTGACGGACAACTTACTTGGTAACTGTGGTAGGGCCATGCAACAGTTGTGCAACGCTGTAGCACAAATGGGCAGGTCCGTGATGAGTCTGATGAGTGAGGTAGCCATCCACTTAATTAAAAGACGGCAATGCATCTGTAACCCTAAGGGTGTTGCAAATGTCCATGAGCGCGCTTGCCGCCTTGTCACATAAAAAAAACTTACCTGGCAGCGAGAGCCTGGCGGCCTCCGGCGCCGCCAGCGGGGAGAGGGGTTCCGTGCCACGGGCGACCACACGCCGCAGCTCCCTGTTCCTCGTCAGCTCGCCTGCCCGCCAGGGTTGTAGGTCCTTGACGCCATCAGCCAACACCTCCGCCATGAAGGACTCGATCAGTTCCTTGCCTGGAATACAAGGTCTATTAATTGCTTGAGCACCCCACCCACTTGGTATGTGATTTTCCTCTACCGATGAGACAAAACAAATGGCGTGTACGAAATCAGCCATTGGGCAGCGTCCAAGATTTTAATGACAATTTTGTAAACGATTTACGAAAGCAATTGACGCCACGTTTGGAATTTACGACTTGTCGCCGGCAAAATATAAATATAGCAAATGTTCGGATATGTGTAAACGTTTTTTTTATAGCAGTGGGTAAAGATGTTTCGAATAATTCCACTTTTGTATATTATACATTGTCACGGAAGTGATAATGTATAATATACAAAAGTGTAAATTCCAAACGGAACACTAAGTGTATCTTATTAACTACACATACTATTGTCCAAATTTCTAAATAAAATTGTGGCATGGCAGCATTCAGAAACTGTCCCATAAGTGTGGATGGTGATAATTGTTCGTTACACTTACATTGAAAAAAAAATCGAAATTCAACGCCATAAATTCTCTAAAATTATTTCGTTTAAGAAATAATGTGTAGTATACAAAATATCGGTAAGCCATGCCTATTTCCAAAGTTTTTTTTGTGCGGCAAGGGATTAAACGGAACGCGATCATGAATCTAAAAGAATAACTTCCATTAATGATTATTCGTAACATTCCTGCATATCCTAATATATTTTTACGTACCTAAGAAGATAGGACTCAAAGTAGGGTATAGAGCTCATCCTTTTTTTATCAACATGGCAAACCAGACGAATCGCGAAAGTATTATACTTCCACTTTACGTCGGTCTTCTGTGAGATTTAATCAACCACGGTACCTTTGGCAATGTTGGCGGCGTACTGCTTCATCGCGATCTTCTCCACCGTGTTCTCCAGCCCGAAGAAGTTCTTCACGTCCAGCAGGGCGCTCTGCTCGAAGCAGGTCCAATCCGGGTTCTCGGGGTGTACCTGTCAGGTGTGATTACCTGGTCATTATTTGAGTGCGAAGCGCGATACAACGCGATTGTATATGGCATTTGAATTTGAAACATAAAATGCAATGGAATAATGGCAGCGGACTTTAACATACAAGATTGTACGCTTAATACACTTTTTACTGTAGCTGTTTATGGACATTATTATCGATTATCTATGTTCACAAAAAGAAAGTATTGAAGTAAATTCACTAGTACACTCTTTCTTTAAAATTTGTTTTTTTTTTAAATTTTTTTAGGTTGTTTCCTATGTATTGTATTAGTTGCTGTTTTTTAATTTTTTCTTTTAATGTTACGTCGAACATTATGTTTTAATTGCTTTAAAGTTTTATTGTCACAATATTATTAATGTTGACAACATCTGTTTCAGGTGTAAGTACATATTAGTGGCTATTTTTTTGCTTTTTCCTTTTTCATAAACAATGAAATGAATTCAAAATAAAGTATGTAATGTGTCATGCATAGTCCGTACAGCGTCCTATTGCTTATTGAATGATTCTTTCATTGCTATGTCGCTCGCACATGCTTGTTTCCTTACAATAAACTTTTCACTCCCTTTGTTGAATGCAATAAGATTGTTTTCATTGCGAATGATTATTAAACCCTCACTCTCAAAAGCAATCCAAAAATATGTTAACAGGTTCTTTATTCCTCGTGGTTCAATCAAAATAAAAAAACGTAATTTGCTAGTATTTAAACAAAAATTATTAGGCGTTATCTGCCTATGTTGTCCCATTGCTGGTTAAGGCCTAGCAACAATTCTTCTGTTCACAAGCGTTTGTTCGATCTTTATCGTTCTCTAGTGCAATAAGAAGACATAACGGCGCCTTTGCCATTATTGGAATGTTTGTCGGCGACGCTGTCTGCATCTTCCTCATACGTATATAACTAAGCAAATGCCATTTTAATCGAGCCAGTCTTGAATATCTAACATGGAATTTACTAACGTCGCAAGCGAGACGCGTTGTAAACCGTAGGTTTTGTTTGCAGATGGACTTATTATTAAATTACAGTATTGAAGAAAAATAAAAGGAATGATTACTTTTACATTTTTTTTTTTCTACATATTTTAATACTTTTACATTACTTAACGGACAGCAAAAGATTATAATAATTAATCTTACTATTACATAATCTTAAACTATAAATATTTTTAAACAAAAATTATTACAAAAAATGTATTTACATAACTTGGTATGTACTTTGTCTTCGATGTTGTTTTTTTGTTAATTTTTTTTCTCTTTTTATTCAATTTGTTTGCGGTCTACGCTAATGCGTTTTCGCAACTTCAACAACCGTTAATTTTCGCCAACAGCCTCGTGTTAGCACATTCGCTGCGAATCGATTGCGGCCGACGCAAGATCTATTTGGACGCGGTTTTGGAGCGGATATGGCACAACTGGCCGCATTTTTCACAATACTATACACCAACGAGACTAGGAACTCCTGTGTCCTGAAATATTAAATAGCTGTGAGAGTTCAGATGTGTGTAAACGTTTTTTTATTCATTTATATATAATTTATGTACACAGAGAATTATGACAGAAAATTTAATGTGTGAAAGAATTTGTACAAAGACCCTGCTTATTTCTTCCAGCAGACCTGTGACTGGAAATTGTTACAAATGGTAGTTAATTGTGTACATACATTAATTATAATACAGGGATATGAAATAATTTTTTTAGCAGTACGTAAAAATGTTTCGAACAATTTGTTTAATCTTGCATTTTTATCAGTTCCATGACAAGGTATAGGTACTAGGTGTATCCTTTTCAGTTTAAAAATTTTTGTCCACATTTCTAAATGTAATTGTGGGATCCAGAAACTGTCCCATAAACCATAACCGTAAAAAGTAAAGTAACAGCCTATACATGCTCCCACTGCTGGGCAAAGGCCTCCTCTATACAGAGGGTATCAGGGCATAGTCCACCACGCGGCCCCACTGCGGATTGGCGGACTTCACATATCTTCGAAATACATTTTTTTTGTTATTATTTCGAAAATATGCAGGTTTCCTCACGATGTTTTCCTTCACCGCGGAGCACGTGATAAGCCAGCACTTAAAGTTAAAAACTTCATTGGTGCCGGCACCGGGGATCGAACTCAGGTTGCTCGAGTATATATTGAATTAAAGGCGAGCGCCCGGACACTGAGCTATCACGGCTAATAACCGTGGATGGTGATAATTATTTAAAAGGCTTATAATATATATTGAGAGAAAATTCAAAGTTAAACGCCATAAAATCCGTAAAGTAGTTTCCTATATAGATAGAAAATAACTGTACTTATTACAAAAAGCCTTGTTTTACTATTTTAATATGAATTCATATTGAAACCCTCCGACTCGAGATGGCTCAAGATACTCAAAACATTTTTCCAGATGTCGGCAAGACGGGGAATTGGACAAAGTGGTGGCTGAAGGATCGTTTCGGCGCGTGACGGAGGGCAATTATCGTGACCTTGGGCGCGTTTCAAGAGCGTGCCGCTACAGGGAACGGGGCAAGCGAGTCTGGGGGCCGTAACGCATGTCTTATGGCGATTCCAAATATTTAATTTCGCTTGTCTTTTTATATTTTTAATATTCACAAAAAGCATACATGGCCTGTGAGTGGGAAAGAATTGTATAAAGGCCATGTAGTTGCTATCATCATGTTACAATGTGTTTATTGTATAGTATATGTTTAGTGTTATGTATGTCTTTTGTGTATAATTATTTGGTATATGTTAGTATATTCTTATTATATAATAATATAATATATTCGTTTAGTTTATTGAAGTGCGTTGTCGAAAGTAATATACTTTTAGCAACAAGGTTGTCTGGGCGAGCGCCTTATTTTAGCGATAAGACCGGCTTATTGTATCTACCTCATAAGCTTTTCTTTTTATAAAATTTCTTCTCAAGTTTTAATGATGGTGAATAAAGCATTTATTTATATATATTTATAAATATTAATTATTACATGAATTATTTAAATATTAATCGTATTTAACTACAACTTTATGATTTCTTCGAACTACCGACAAAAACCGATAACTCTGTTATAGCAACGAGTCATGGGTTTTTGTCCGCATGAAATTTATGTTAGCAAGACGTCCTTACAACAATAGATCATACAGCGAGGGAAACAAAAACGAAGAAAAAAGTTTCAAAGCAACTTCGCATTGACTAACAAAATCGGTATACACCACGTTCACTAATGACAATATTCAACGTTTTAATAATGAATAAATTTGAAAAAATAAAATTGCTCAATATAGTTTCAAAGGTAGGGTCTCCTTTTATTGGTATCCGGGGGGGGGGGGGGGGGGGTTTGTCCATAAAAAATACCCTGTCCGTGTCTGGGTCTTACGCACCAAAAGCTGTACGTTTGGAGGCACCCCGGGATCTCCTACGCAACGCACCGGTGTCCCTCGGTACGGGTAAACCTTCCCCAATTCCCTCGCCACCTTGCAGCAGCTAGAGGCCACTGCGAGCTGCTGCCAATCCGTGTCCCCTTTTACGACAGGCAGGAGATACCTTAGTCCTATTCTATGAGCCCGGGACTACAGGGCTGAGGGCTACAGGTCTTGGGTCTTCTAGCTAGATTACTTAGTTAAATAATGAGTAAGGAGAACAGCACCCGTTACCCTATTATCTACAACCAGAGACCAGCCCCAGCTTCGCACGGGTGCAATGTATTATACATATAAACCTTCCTCTTGAATCACTCTAATTAGTAAAAAAAACCGCATCAAGATCAGTTAAGTAGTTTTAAAGATCTGAACATACATAGGGACCGACAGACAGCGGGACGACTTTGTTTTATGCTATGTATCTAGAATACATATATATGTATTATAATAGAAGACAAAATTTAAACAGATATATACATAATCACAACAATTAGATAGGTGAGAATGTATAAGAAGATACAAAAGCGAGACACAAACTGTAAAACTTAGATAAAAATCTTTAAGGCTATTATAATATTAGTGATTATTGAAATGATAACACACCCTGGTAATGAAAAGACCGCTTCAGGCTCTTTCAAGTGAACTTTAATACATTGTAAACATGCTTCTTGCCAAATAATGGTAAAAAGAACATATCCCGCTGAGTTTCTTTCGCCGATTCTTCTCGGTGGATTTTCTTTTCCGAACCGGGTGGTAGCATTTTGACAATCAATAAGTAAGTGTAATGCTTCTATATTGTATAAAGATATTTGAATTTGTACGTCTGCGTCTGGCCGCTATCTGCCTATACCTACAGCCTTAATGGAGGAACTAACATCAAGGGTTACGCGTGGGTAGCACTTATTTATCGTCGGAAAACAAAGCTGTACAGCACCTGGACAAACAGGTTGCCGACGTGCGCGCCCGGCGAAATCTCCCCCAGATCGTAATATATATATCGCCCATTCGCACAGGCTACAAACTTAGCACTACGATCAGATAAATTATTTGACGGTTGATATTATCACGGTAATACGTTTGAAACGAGGACTCCGTGGCGCAGTTGCCAAGGTATTAGCTTCGGTGTCCGGGGTTTGTGGGTTCGATTCCCACACGGGACAACCATTTGTGTGATCCACAGATAGTTGTTTCGCACCTCGGTGTTTGTTCCCAAGGTCAGGTAGGCGACTAACACCATGATTCACATGATGTGCCGACCCCACCTAGGGGGAATAGGGGCAGGAGGATTAGGATACATTTGGAATGATGAAAGTGAAGTTTAACTATTTATATCGTGACGATATTTCACGAGAGAGACTACTGTACTGATAGTCCAATTCACTTGTTTTTATTAATGGGAGTAGGAAAGAGCGAACAAGCAATTTTTTAGCGAACTTTATAACAAAAAAAAAATTGATCTGAAGTTAGTGTTAAGTGATCAGCGCTACACACTGATATCAACAACACTTGCCCCGAACTTTAAAATAATGAACCATGTTAGCTGGTAGAGAACTCATGTATTGAGTTAAGCATACCTTTTGT